TGACCTATTTATTAGTCTTGTGTTCTAAAAAAAAAATTATTTAATTAAATATGTCTGTAACATTTACATTCGAAAGCCTGAATCCTCCTTTCAACTTTAACCACAAATTTCGTTTTCATCGGGACAGTATCGTTTGCTTCGGCAGACCCGCACCGTCCATTGATACTCAACGTTAACTGGGACAGTGAATATTTTCCCCCTTTCTTTAGCATCGACCCGACAGCTGGGCGTACCTAAAAACGATACTGTCCTGGCGATATTGTCATCCAAACTAAAAGGGATATGCCACCGACCATACAGCGTGCATCATCATTATCATCGCCACAGCCAAGACACGAATTTCGGTCGTAACGGGTGTCCACGCACACACACATATATATATAGGGATCAGGGCAGTGTAAACCATGTCTACGGAAGACCTTTACAAGCACATCTATAACAGCACCATGATGATCCACCTAGACGATCTGCCATCACCATCATGTAGTCAAATCATTTGTAGTACGCCGCTCTCAGCACGGATCTAAGAAAAGACTGGATCCTCAGCCAATTCTTTTGCTCACTCGATTGTGTCCATGGTATCTTCACTACTTGGTGTTTGATTAAAGTGTTTTCATTAAGCTGCGACAGAGGCGATGGTTTTGCCATCTGACGACAATGCCTGGGTTTCTCTGTCGCAGAGAGGCATGCTGAAGAAAAATAACCGAGACAGGCCAAAAGAAAGACCACATAGAAGGGAAAAATATGGCATTAAGAACAGCCTGAAGGAAATAAAGACCAACTTATACAACATATTGGAAAAGACACACAGAAAACCCTTATCTCTCCCCCTGAAGAAGAAGAAGAAGCAGAGGATGAGTAAGAAGATGTTGGTATTAGTCAAATGCTGCTCATATGTATGTTAGCATTTCAAAGATGTTCGTTCTAAACCTGATTGACATTTTATTTGACCATCGTTGTTGTCTGCATCACAGTTCTCCCAGTGTGGGTTCTGAGGCCCCATTTTGGGGGGAAAAATAAGGATAGACTAACACCCCCCCCCAAAGCAAAGTAGTAAACGGTGACTAATTGGGACTGTTTCCTTCGAAGTATAGTCTGTTCCAAAAACTCCTGTACAGATTAAAAAGAATTTTTGGATATCATGTTAGATTTCCCATGCCCTTATGATTTCATAATTTTCAATTGCAAAGGTGCTGCTGTTTTCTTACCACAGCGAATTCCTTTGATCTTTGTCAGATTAATAATTTGTGTATCCCTAAATCAAAATACAGCAATTAACACAAATCATTTACTTTTTATGAACCAATTTAAAATGTATCCACTTCAATCTTCAAAACTAGCGCGCCTTAGTTTCCTGGACAGGTTTCTTCCAAAACGCAGGCAGTTTAAGGTTTTGCCACCTTCGCCTCAAGCCATTTACTATAAACATACTAACTGCATGCTTTGAATCAATGTCTGTATTTTTGTATTACAAAAATGAGGCAGAATAAAAACTAAATGTTTGTTTACATTAGAATTATTTTCGTACAAGGACATGATTCTTAACAAGCGCCAAATTTCAACAATTTACACTAAACGGTTACTGATTGTTAAAAGTGGGCACGACTTTTGGAACAGACTATAGGAGTGTATCTACCTGAAAGGAGAGTAAGCAACCATATGCATATGGAAAAGGACGAACAACCAGAACTTTCAACTGGGGTTTACAGCTGGTGAACATTAAGAAGTAGTTTTACAGTTCCAGATGCTAACCAACATCTGTTTTGATATTCTTCATCTCTCAACTTCTCCACTACTGTTAAATGTGAAGCCATGTTATTTAAAAGTCTGATATTTTCAAATTCCTTTTCGCTGGCTGCAGTTTCTCTCTTGCACACAATTTTGTCTATGGACAGCATGTTTGTTTTTAATATTGAAACACGGGTTTTGAACTTCCTATAACTTTTGGAGAAGAGATATAACTGTTCTAAGACCCTGCATATCTGAGTTCTGGGAGAGGGTTCCCACTACTATCAACAGGGTTCATAATATATGTTTTCTCATGAAACTTTCTGCAATGAAGTTGAATGGATACAAAGAACAAACGAAGCCACACTTTTGTTGTTGAAAGAATGCAGTTACAAGTGGGGAAAGATTGTAGCTACAAGTGGGGAGAGATTGTACCTACAGGTGGGGAAAGAATGTAGCCAAAGGTGGGAAAAGAATGTAGCTACAGATGGGGAAAGAATGCAGCCACAAGTGGGAAAGAATGTAGCTATTTGGGGATATAAGGCAGCCACAAATGAAAATAATCTGATATTTTCAAAGATGTAGGTAGTCTCAAAGTTGAAATCAAGGGGTTTGTGTGGCGAAGCTGTTTCAAAGCCAGGTTGCTCACTTCACATCTAAAGTTTTTACAGATTCCTGGGGACTGTAGATGGAGCTACAGGGTCAATAATCACATCTTCAACAATAGAGATAGTATCCTAGGGATGTAAGTCTTCAGCCTTCATATATTCTAGGAGGAATGTGGCTATCAGTCCCTACTTTGTCCCTGTGTTTGTGTGTGTGGGTGTGTGTTGGTATGTGCCTGTGTGTATTTATTGACATGAATACCTGTGTATACGTGCGTCTCTGTGTGTAAGGATATCTGTATTGTGTGTCTGTGGGTGTGTATCTATGTATGTGTGTCTGTTTGTGTGTATGTGTGTGTGCGTGTAGGACTGTGTATGTGTCTGTATGTGTATCTGTGTCTACATGTGTCTGTGCGTGTGTTTGCTTGTATGTGTGTTCCACGTGTATGTAGCTGTGTGTTTGCCTGCGTGTGTTTGTATGCGTGTGTCTTTGTTGTGTTTGTGGGTGTGTCTTTGTATGTGCCTGTATGTGTATGGGTGTCTGGGTAATTGCCTGTGTATATGCACGTCTCTGTGTGTATATATCTGTGTATGTCTCTGTGTGTAGTGTCTCTGGATGTGTCAACATGTGTGTGTATGTGCGTGTGTGACTGTGTATATGTATGTCTGCGTATGTGTTTGCGTGTGTGTGTCTGTGGGTGTGTGTGTGTATCTGCGTGAGCATCAGCGCGCGTGTGTGTGTCTGCGATTGTGTGTGTGTTTGTGTGTCTCCGAGTGTATCTGTGTGTGTTTGAGTCTGCGTGTGTTTGTGCATGTGTCTGTGTGTGTCTGCGTGTGTGTATGCTGGTTTGTGTGTCGCATGAGTGTGTCTGTGTGTATCTGCGTGTGTGATTGGGTATGTGCGCATATGTCTGTGTGTATGTGTCTGCATTTGTTTCTATGGGTGTGTCTCTTGTTTTTATATCTGTATGTTTGTATGTGTGTGGAATGTGCGTGTCCGTGTGGATATGTAGCTTTGTATGTGGGTGAATGGGGTGTGTTTATGTATGTGTGAAGGTATGTGGGTGTGTGAGTGTATGGGTGTGTGCGCGTGTGTATGTGCGTGTGAATGCATTCTACCACCCATTCTTTTGTGTGTTTTTTTCTTCTCTTTTTTGATATTCATAGTATGCATATTATCATATAAATATTACATGCTTTTTGATAAAATACAGCTGCAGTGTGAGAGGCAGGTGTTTGGAAGGGCCGAATGTAAGACGTGCCTGCATGCCCAATTTGTAACCCTTTAAAAATAAAGTTCGTTCGTTTGTACTTGTTTGTCTAAAAATAAAAAAATATTGTCTACTTACCTGTCTACAGAATATGGAAACCATTACACTGCTCTTGTAAACATGTTTATTCATACAATAAAAGAGAAAACAATAACAACCATTAGAAATGTTACCATGAAATCATAATTTTCTTTGTCACATTCACTGGCTGTAAACTCCAGGGGAAAGTCCTGGCTGTTATTCCACTTCTGGACTTTTTTTTTTTTCCATGACCTGAATTTTGTCTGCACATCTGTCTTGTCTTTTTTTTTAAAACAGATCTGAATTATTTCTGCGCAGACTGTTGGTTACTTACCTCACAGGCAGATGCACTTAGACTCTGAAGGAAACCTGGGTCCTATCTATGTTGGCCAGGCCTCCAGCTAAGAATCTGTTTCCAGCCAGTCCGTGGACAGGTCTAGATAGGTCTTCACCAGGTGAGCCCTGACAATGAATCTCTCTTCTTGTAATATTTGTAACACACACGAGCCTGCATCCCATTATTGACTTGACCTATGCTTGATTAATACACATTGCTTAATGCAATACTGCTATCTGACTGCTTAGAAACACACTTTGTCCATCCAGTCAGTGAATGTGTTACAATTGCTTTCCTCTAACTTGTATAAAGAGAACATGGTGCCGGCTCTCTGTAATCTAAAGGACAGTATAGTAGAACAGACAGAGAATCCATACACTGAAAGAATAATTCAACAGGGGGTGAGTACAGGTTCTGGGAGATATTCAACACTGAGTGGGAAACATAGGCAGACTTTCCATCAGGTTGAGTTGAGTCAAGAATTGGCATCACAGCACTCGGGGCATTCCCATGCATGCTCCGTCCTCATTTTCAGCAGCCAGTGCAGAGTTCCAATACTGATGGTACCGGTCACAATCTGGTTATATGTTCGTCTTGCCTTTCCTCTGAGTGTAGTGAGCAGGCCAGACCTCTGGTTACATGCAGGTGTCTCATTCTCTCCAGGCCATAATAATCTTCTTTCTCTACTGATTCCGTTGCTTATTCCCAAAGGGCCTTGACCACATCTGCCTTGTCATGAATCAATTTACCACCCAGTGGTGCAGATTTTCACCAAGTTGCCCCAGATACTAGTAGCATAACTCTGCACTAGCTACTGAGGAAGGGAACAGAGCACATGTGAGAATGTCCCGAGTGCAGTGATCTCAATTCCTGTTTCATTCATTTATTCCTCAAACTGTTTTTATTTTATACTCAACATTTTCTCTGCATATTTTAGCATATTATAAATTTTATTTGTTCTTACAATGAGCAAGGATTGTAGAATCAACATATGTGTCAACACTAGGTGTCACCTCAAAACACATCCATGATTCCCTGCTAATCCCAGTCCTCATCGCTGCCTGCTTTCCGTGCTGGTGCAGCTTTTGGTGGAGCAGGAATCATGGAAGCTATTCTGTCCAGCGCAGAGGAAGATCCTCCAGCAGATTCTGTTTTCTCTCCAGCTTTTGCAGTTCCTGAAATTGCTTTTCTTCTCATTGTCAGTTTGCTAACTAGATCACTCATGAGATCTCCACCGCCGCCGCCTCCTCCTCCTCCTCCTCCACCATCTCCAGCAGCTCCTTGTGCCTGCTCCTCTTGCTTCCTCTTTTTATTTCCCACTTTTCTATCCTTGGCAGATTTTAACCCGGCTCCAGTGACGCCTCCTGCTTTTACAATGGACTCCAGCAAACTTTGGCGACCAGAAGCTGGCTCTGCAATTTCTTTTGGAACATCTAAAGGAGCTGGGGGTGGAGGTCCTGGAGGGGGAGGAGGAGGTGGAGGTGGGGGTACACTAGGTGGAGGTGGTGGAGGAGGTACACTGGCCAAAGGTGGGGGAGGAGGAGGTGGTGGTGGTTCCGGTGGTGGTGGACCTCCAAGAGAAGGTAATGTCGAGGATACTGAGGCCATGCCGGCGGGTATCCTATCATTCTCTAAGCCGACTAAAGGAAGATCAGGTATGTGGGAGCCCATGACTGATGGAGCAATTGACGGGCCTTGATCTGCACTGAAGGTCAGATCGTCCGCAACACCTGGAAAATATACAGATCACATGCCGTCAAGGATAGTAGTTATTGTCATTGCAGTTGATATTATTATTAAGTTAGATCACACAGACTGTTAATAAAAATAACTAACCTCCCAAAGTGGTTTTAGCTTCTCTGAAACTCACTGCTTGTATTGGCTCTAGGGCCACATTGTGGGCATACACAAGGGGGAGGGGGGGCGCAGCCCGGCAGCCTGACTACCCTAAGGATATTACATCGGTAATCCGGACTGAACGGAAAAACCGGCCAGCAAAGTTTTTTTTTTTAAGATTGGCTTTGCCGATTGGGTTTTACCCATGACTTGGTTTGTGACCGATCCCGGTCCTTTTTGGTCAGACCAGTGCAGCAGAGCTAGACTTTGATCTTAGCCAAAAGGCTAAAAATTGGGCAGTGTCTTGAGAAGCAACAGCACCAAAGTTAAACTCTCTTGCTGCAGTTACAACTGCAAACTGAACACACTTGCGTGAGGCAAACCTGTCTTTAGTACAGCGAGCCTAGATCAGGTTGTGTAAACACTCATTTGAGAGTTTTTCCTGAAATACATCTACTAAATAATTTAGGGTTAGACAGCCTTTCATAAATTGGCACAAGATACTTTTGTAGCTTGTCACAGCTGAGCCATGTGTGTAACATCTTGTCATGAGGACCCGGCACTGATGCTTAGCCAGGGCGGACTGAAAAAACACACACAAAGATTGTTCTCCCCTTGGGCACATTTCATGGCGTGGAGTTTTTGTCTGTTGAAAAACAGGGATGCAGTGAAGCCATAACACTGTTCCTCATTGACTCTACGCTTGTGTTGTTTCTTACCGCTCTGTTGTAATAAATTGTCAGCTTACCTTCATTCTGTGTTAGCTGACATTTACCACACCTTGCTTACGGCAGTCAGCAACGACATTACGGAGTGCCGTTCCAATGCGTTTCCTGACATGGTTGATGCATTCCTCTTTGTTAATGTGAATGTTTCCCCCATAAGGTTTGATCTTGGTAAGCGCCACAAATGTTTTGGCATCACCATTAAAAAGTATTGATGTATAACGCAGCTTAAGACGGGCCACAGCCTGCCACAGCACTCGTGTAGCCTTAACCTCCATCATTTCACAATTATTATCACAGTTTAGAAGATGGTCTGCCTCCCATGCTTCAGTTTCAGCTGGTTTAGATTTGGAAACTCCTTTACCAGTGGTTTCACACATGTGACAATATGTGGACATAACATGCACATCTATGCAAAGTCCAGTAAGTACATCCACTGGACAGCTAACTCCAATGTAGGATGTGTGGCCTCTTGTCAGCCGAGTGCCATCAAAGCTGACAGTAATATCCAGCCCATCATCATCATGTAGAGTGATGCCTGACTGCTGTGCATGGACTTGTCGAACATACTTCACGGTTTTAGAGAAAACCATGTCTTCCAGATCTTCTAACTTTGAACATAATTTACTTGCTTTCTTGTGAAATATTCTGTGATTAAGACCTTAAGGGTTCGTATGTTCACAAAAACTACTAAACGTTGTGGCACTCATTCCACAAATTAATGCAGAATAAACAAACTGGTTGTTGATGGCAAAAGATCTATCCCCATCATTACCTTCTGAAGCTAGGTACCTTTCAGTAACTACTTTACAACAAAAGCAGTAAATTTCTGCATGCACAGCTAATCCTTGAGTTTTCTTGCTGTCATTTTTCCAAATAAGACCACTATTTTTACATAGTGGACAACACAACGTTTGATGACTTCATCAATTTAACAGAAGTCAACAACTACATAATTCCAGTTTCAATGATATATAATACAAACAGTTATCTCCTTGTACACATGCGCTAACTTCGTAACAAGTTTCAATAAACAAATAATTTCACAGCTAGGGTAGCTCAGTAAAATATTAATATTGCATTAACATAATGCATTTCAGACAAAAACAAATACTGAAACTGACAGAAGACAGACTAAGGTATGTAAAACCGAACTTTTCCCAAAATTGTCAACCTGACCCAAATTTGATGTTTTGAACGCCCGCACATGGCCTTAAAGTGATATGCAGATGATTATTTGTAGAGTTTTCCCTTGGTAGTGTGCTGTAAAACTTTCTACACTCAAAGAGTTGACAAAATTAATCTGGCTTATAAATAACAGGCACTGAGTACCTGGCAAGTTAGGCAGCAGATCAGGCACTGCAATCTCAGGGACTGTGCCTAGCTCTGGAATGTAGAGGTAGTTTTCTGCACTGGCTTTGAACAGTTCTTCATTGTGAACAATGGTAGATGGTGCCTCAGCCATACGTGCTCCTTCTTCTTCAATGGCAGCCCTTGTCTTGGTGACCACTCCCAGTGGATCAAGCATGACATACTTCTTGTATCTAAGGAACATGTTGGGTGTAAAAAATTAGCAAGAACAATGAGTACTTACTATCTAGTTCTATTCAAACTATTAGCAATAATACATACAGAATAAAAGAAATACAAAATGACAGTAAATATGGAGCAGAAAAATGGAGAACAAATAAGGCAATTACTAATAAACTACAGGCATTCATTAACTGGTGCCTGCGCAGAATAGAGGGAATTAAATGGTATGATAGAATCACTAATGTAGAGCTTTGCAAGAGACCTAAGCAAGCTCCAGTGGACCAAGAGGTGAAGAAAAGACGCTGGTGTTGGACAGGCCATTAATTGAGAAAATCGGAGAACAATATAACTAGAATGTCTTTGCACTGGAACCCACAGGAATAAAGAAAGGTAAAACAAAACATGGAGAAGGAAGCTGGAGAATGAAGTTAGAAAGATGGGGAGGACATGGGGAAAGTTGCATGCGACAGCAAAATACAGAACAACTTGGCGTGATTTGGTTGAGGATCTATGCTCTATTGGGGGCTAGAAAGGCAGAAGAGAAAGACAGTAAAAATTTTACTTTAAGAATGTATGAGCAGTTAATACTGTAATGGATGTACTTACAATAACTCACTCACAACATACACTGTATATGTGCAGTCAATATTTTAGACAAACAGTGTATGTATAGTGAATATTTCTTTAACAAATAATATTACTAAAAGAATGCACCTTCAGTAAATATTTCCCCCCAAGTGGGTTCTGCAGCCCAAAATTGTTTGGGGGTGGTAGTGGTGTCTGTGTGTGTGAGTGTGTGTGTGTGTGTGTGTGTGTGTGGGGGGGGGGGGCTGGGGGAAGGGGGAGAGACTGACTTATTGCCCTAACAAGTGTGTCATAAAAGTCAACTAATTAGTGGTTTGCTTAAATTGGATGTGTTGGGGCGAAAGGCGCAGATATCACAGCCAAACTGTTAACGACAACACAACGCACCAACCACTCAAGTGAAAGTGCGTGTGGCAGAACTCTCACAAGAGTATTCATAAAAACAGCACAAAGCCTGCTGGCGCCCGAGGTGAGGTATGGAATATTTCCTCATACACATCACAATCGCCTGAATTTTTCCTCATGCCTGTGACTGAAATCACTGCGACACAAACTTCCCATGACAAGATGCCAGTTAGGTCGCTTTTCTTTATTTCATTTATGCTCCTGGTAACACACAGGTGAAAAAAAATGGTTCATGTGGTGAAACAAACCTGGCTTGTGTGAGCCAGACACAGCCGTTTCACTTCTCAGCTGTTCCAGCCCTAAAGTGTGTATTTACAATGTATAGTTTACTTCAGAACATTCACAAGGTAAACATTTAAAACAGAAAGGATATGTCAAATGTATAATCTTACGGATTCTCTGTAGTATTGAACAGCAGCAAAGAACTGATGGATGGGATGTCACTGGGCAGACCACCCAGGCCTTCTTCTTGACTGTTCTGGTCTTTACGAGCTCGAACGTTCAAATGAACATTATAAAACTGGAGCTTCTCCTTAAATACTCTGTCATCCACATATGCATGCTTTTCTTGAACCTAGAGTTCACAGAGATGATTCATCGTGTTAAACTATAACGATAAATGATTTCTGAAATACCAAATGCAACCTTAAAAATGACAGTGTAAAGGTGAATTATTTCCAGTGCATAATGATTGGGAGGAGTGAGTGACCAGGTTTCCCATCTCACACCTCACAGACAAAGCCTTCAACCTTCTGTAAAGTTCTGGGGTCTTCTTCTTCTGCCTTTCTATCCCCCAATGGAGCATAGGCCCTCAACCAACTCACGCCAAGTCGTTCTATCCTTCGCCATTGCATGGAGCTCTCCCCATGTCCTCCCCATCTTTCTAACCTCATTCTCCAGCTCTCTTCTCCATATGTTTTTGGCCTTCCTTTATTCCTATGCCCCTGTGGGTTCCAATGCAAAGATATTCTAGTTATGCTGTTCTCCTGTTTTCTCAGTGTGTGTCCTATCCAACGCCAGCATCTTTTCCTCACTTCTTGGTCCACTGGAGCCTGTTTAGTTCTCTCCCAAAGTTCTACATTAGTTATTCTATCATGCCATTTTATTCCCTCTATTCTGCGCAGGCACCAGTTAATGAATGTCTGTAATTTATTAGTAATTGCCTTGGTTGTTCTCCAAGTTTCCGACCTTTACAATAGTACTGATTTGACATTAGAATTAAACATTTTTAGTTTAGTATTTCTTGTAATTTCTTTTGACCTCCACAAATTCCCTAGTGCTATGAAAGCCCCTCTTGCCTTTTGTATTCTTATTTTAATATCTCTATCAGTTCCTCCATCTTTATCTACATTACTGCCTAAATAGGTGTACAACTCCACATCTTGGAGTGGGGTATCATTAAGAGAAACCATATTACTATTTGCCTGATTTTTTCTCATTATCTTTGTCTTTCCTTTATGGATTTTCAGACCAAGCTGCTGTGATCTCGCATCAAGTATATTTAATTTATCTTGCATCTGATTCTGTGAATGGGACAGAAGAGCAATATCATCAGCGAAGTCCAGTCATCAAGCTGTTTTGTAGGGGTCCACTGAATTCCATTCTTGGTGTTAGCAGTTACTGTTTTCATAGTCCAGTCTATAGCCAGTAAAAATAAGAGGCGACAAAAGACATTCCTTGTTTCACACCTGTTTTTATTTCAAATGCATCTGTTAGCTTTCCCTCATGAAGAACTCTACATTTCATGTAAAGTTCTGGGGTACTGTACAAAAACAATCCTAGCTCCCTGGCAAGTTCTTAAACATGTAGTCTGCATTCTTCTACCAGTGAAAATGTGCACGTGTTTACTAGAAACATCAAAATTAAAATAAAGAATTGAGCATACTTCTTCTTTAATCCAGTTTTGCCATTCAGTGTCAGGTTTTGAAGAGGTCATGAGTCAGAGCCCTAGTGTTTGTTACCTGGATGCTAGTATTTATGGCCTTGAATATTCCCTCTTTCTATCCAGTTACCCCATCTTTATCTAAATGACTGTCAAGATAACTGTATGACTCCACATACTTGAACTGAATTCTAATAAGAGAGACCACATTACTATTTGCCTGGTTTATAATCATTATCTGTGTCTTTCCCTTACGTATTCTTAGACCAAGTTGTAATCTTGCATCAAGTATTTTTCATTTATCTGGCATCAGATTCCGTGAGTGGGATGACAGGGCTTTATGTGGTGCACTGGCTGCTGGTGGTCTTGACCCAGGTCACAACCTTTGGATCTGCTGTCTTTTGATGTAGTTTATTACTGGTTCCATCCCAACTTGTTTCTTGATATCATCATTTCTGATGCTTTCTCTTTCAGTTACATTTAGAATTCATTAGAGACGGTAAAAATGGCAGAGATGCTAAAAATACTGTACTCAAAATGTGTTCTTTTGGTGTCAATTGCTATGGAAAGAGTCACATGGATAGATAGTGGTTACTGTGAAACAATCAAGTACCTTATAATGAGAATGTTTAATCTCCCGCAGACCTTCAGTATTGGTAAACGTGATCCTGTATGGTTCCAGCTTATCTTCTGCTGGATATTTCGCGCTTGCAAACACCTTGGTTGCCTTGTTACTGCCTTTGAGTTTATCCACTCTGGCTGAAGCTAGTGTCACTCGATCATTTATCTTCTGAAGATGGGCCCGATTTTCCCCAACTCTCTGACTGATTCTGGTAAATATTTCATTTGCTACCTGTTACAAGTGAAAGAAAGACATTATCGTTTTAATTATTTCTTTATTTCTTCTTCTGAAGCAAAATTATTATAATTAATAAGTTATTACATTCTAAATATACATTGATTATATTCTTACACATATTTTCTGTTCGGCACATTTGGGTGTGCGTGGTGGCAAGCAGGCTAATGGATTAGCTGCTGCCGGTTCTGTGGGAATGATCTGCTTTACGATAAGGCAAAGAGAATGTGGTGAAGGCTCTCTGGGATCAAATGGACAGTGCAATAGAATTCTGCTATTGGATTAAGCAGAGAAAGACATTAGATAGGTAGATATCATATACAACAACTAAAACCCCTCAGCTTTAGAATGCAATTATTTGTATGATACTAGTACAGTGTCTCATCTGAGACCCAAGAAATAATTTTTCTTATCAGAAATGCCTCTTATCCGATAAGAGTTCAAGCAAGAAAAATAATCAGGAATAAACAAACTGTTCTTCACAATAGAAAATTGCCACATCCGAGATCGCCTTAAACGGTCAGTACTGTATTTATAAAATACATGTTCTCCAGTACAACTACTGAAAAGTATGGGGTCCGTGGCCGACATTCGAAAGCAAGATGGCTTTGCAGGTCTTAGCGTATTGGGAGCCATTGATTTAAACAAATAAGAGTTCAAAGTTCAACTGCTAATGATTGTTGCAGCAAATCATGATTAAATAGTTATTACAGGTGAGAGGATTCATTTTCTTGAACTGAGTGGCTGGCAGCTTGACGTCTAGTTGCACAAAGCACCTAAACAGTAGCTCCAGCAACAACCTAGAAGGATCTAAGACACTGCAAACAAAAACAACAAAAAATTAAGAGAGAACAAGTAAAATCGCCCGACAAATGACTCACCTTATCAAGATATTCTAAGGCATCTGCAATCTGGTGAATGGTTTCCTCTCTCCGCAAGTCTGGGGGGATGGTCGGGACATTGAAGCCCTGACTACCCATGATCGTCATTTGATCGTTGGTGCCTTGGGCTGGTCTCTGTATGTAACAGTTACATCTGCAGTTAGCTGCTACTGTAAGCCTGCAACCAAAAATATTGTCAATTATGAACTGGGTTTTATTCACTGCATTCCAGGAAATGTCCAACGGTACTCACATTCCCCTTTCAACATACACATCAGCAGTTAATAGTGTCAGTTCGATCCTGGCTAACAAGACTTCTTGTATGTCCAGTGTGCCTCCCATGTCTGGCTATGCCAGTCTTACTTACTTACTTAGTCGCTCCTCTTCTACCTTGGGGTGTAGAGGTTTGCCAGAGAGATCGCCAGACGTCTCTATCAGCAGTTTTCTTTCTGGCTTTGTTCCATTCCAGTCCTCTGTCAGTCAGGGACTGTCGGATGTTGTCTTCCCAGCGCACCCTGGGTCGTCCCGGAGGTCTGGTTCCCTGGTTCTTAGCCTCCCATGCTTGCCATGGTGGCCGATTTTCTCCCATTCTGCACACATGTCCAAACCATCGTAACTGTGACTGATCCACTCGGGTTAGTAAGGGCTGGGTATCAAGATCTTGACGTATTGTCTGATTGCGGACTTTGTCCCTTCTTGTCACTTGGACCACCTTTCTCAGGTATCTCATTTCCGAGGCCTGCAGCTGGCTTCTGTGAGCTGTTGTCATTGCCCATGACTCACACCCATAGGTCAGGACTGGTACATAGGTAGAGCGGTAAACAGCCATTTTCGTCCTCTTGCCAATTTCTCTTTTGCTAAGAAACCCTCGGTTTATGGCCTGGAAGAGTCTCCCAGCAGCTGCTTTTCGTGTAGCCAGCTCAGTCTTAATGCCTCCATTTTGGTCTAATACAACTCCAAGGTATTTGAACTGGTTAACCTGCTCCAACGCATACTGACCCATCATGATCTGGTGTTTCTTCTCCTCTCTTGAGATCACCATGGTTTTAGTTTTGGAGACACTGATGGTCATCCCTTTCTTTTCAAGCTCTTCCTTCCAGACAAGTAAGTTGTACTGAAGGTGTGCCTCTGATTTAGCTATCAGGGCCACATCGTCTGCAAAAGCCAGCTCTGATATACAGATTGGTCTCATCTTCCAGTACCCTACAGAGTACTTCTTTGTCTTCTCCTTACAGGTCTTGATGACATCATCCATCATAAGAATGAAGAGGTAAGGTGAGAGAATATCACCTTGTCTAACACCGCTGGTGGTCTTAAATTCTTCTGACTTTTGGTCTGCTGTTCTTATATAATTTCTGCACTTTTTGTAGAAACTCTGTATTGCACTGATCAGGGGTGCTGGGATGTTTTTCCCTGCCAAGCAGTCCCAGAGCTTGTTCCAGGGTACCTTGTCAAATGCCTTTTCCAGATCCAAAAAACATAAGTGAATCTCACTCTTATATTCCAGGGCTTTTTCACTCATCTGTCTCAGTGTGAAGATAAGGTCTTGAGTACTTCGGTTTGCTCTGAAGCCGCACTGGGCCTCGTCCAGCTGTGGCTCTACCAGACTTCTAAGTCTCTGCTCAAGAATTCTAGAGTAACTTTTTACCGGGAATGCTGAGGAGGGATATGCCTCTGTGGTTTTCACATTGTCTGTTATCACCTTTTTTAAATATAGGTATAATTATGGCAATCTCCCAATCTTTTGGTATAGTTTTGCTACACCAGGCTGCCTGGAGAACCTTCAGTAGAAGGCGCTCACCTTCGACTCCCATATATTTGACCATCTCTGGTGTTATACCATCATGACCTGCTGCTTTTCCCAGCTTAATCTTCTCAATAGCTGCCTTCAATTCTTCCATCCTGATGTTATCTTCCCCATGATTGAATTCCTTCTCAGCAGTGAGGTCCATTATTTCTGGGTCATGACTTCCCTCAGCGCCGAGGAGCTCTGAGAAGTATTCTTTCCATCTGCCCATGATATCATTTGTAGAAGTAAGCAGAGCCCCTTCCTTGTCTTTTATGAATTTAAGTGGGCACTCTTTCTCCTTCCTCATGTTCTTAAGGGTCTTGTAGAACAGTTTTTGGTTTTCTCTTGCATTCTTTTCCAACTTTTCTCCAAACTCTTCCCATGATTTCTGTTTTGCTTTAAGCACAATATTTTTGGTCTCTGTTCTGAGTGCCACATATTGTTTATATTTTTCTATTTCTTCAGCTGTGTTCCTGGCTGCCAGGTATTGCTTCCATGCCCTTTTCTTTTCTCCTATTTTCAATTTGACTTCTTCTGTCCACCAAGGTGTCCTGTGTCCCCGCCTTCCACTTGGGACTTCACCACATGCTTCTACTGCAGCTGCTGTGAGGATATTCTTGAATCTGCACCAGAGAGTTTCAGTGTCCTCTGATGATTCTTCTTCAGTTCCTATTGCTTTCACTATAAGCTCCTGGTATCTAGCCTTAATATCTGGCTCTCTTAGCTTGTATGCTTTAATCCTCATCCCTTCTTGGTTGCTTTGTTTCTTGCATAGTTGTCGGTGTTGCCTTGTTGGAGCAGTTCTTTCAGTTGTTCTCTTTATTGTGACCAGATAGTGGTCACTTCCAATCTCTGGTCCTCTCATGACTCTGGCATCTCTCACAAACTTGAATGAACTTTTCCTAACTATGGCGTAGTCAATGATGGATTTTTCATTCTTTGAAGGTTCACATCTTGTGTATGCATGTATACGCTTGTGGGGGAATTTTGTGTTTGTAATGACAAGGTTCTGTTCCCTGCAGAATCTGAGAAGTCGCTTGCCATTATCATTCAAAACATCTTCACCATATCTCCCGATCACTCCCCCCCCATCTAGAGTGATCATTTCCTACTCTGGCATTTAGATCTCCTAGGAGGATAATTTCATCGTGACAGTCATCTATGGTCTTTTGGAGCAGTTCAAAGAATTCTTCTTTAACATCTACTCGCTCATCTTCATTTGGCCCGTACACAATGACAAAATTGACAATTTTATCTTCTTCTTTCAGATCTAACACCATTATTCGCTCTGAGATGAATTTCCATCCCTTTGATGTTACTAACTTGATTCCTGGCCACAATACAGCCAACACACCTCCCTTGGCTCTCTCCGTCATAGGGACACCACTGTAGAGCAGCATACTTCCATCGTGATCTGTGATTCCTTGCCCCTTTTTCTTGGTTTCAGTCAGAGCCAAGACTCCTAATTTTGCTTTCCTCATCTCCCCTACTAACTCGTTTTCCTTTCCGTTAATGCCTCTTATATTCCATGTTCCATAAATCGTAGTCCGTAAGCCATGCCAGTTCGTCGCCGTTAAGATCCGTCCGGTTTTCTCTCTGTAGTTACTTGTAATCGTGGTTTAAGGCAAACAGGTGATTGGCCTGTTGTGCCTTTGCATGGTGGAGGGGCTGCCTCCTTGCGGCCTCCATGCAGGCCGTCTGGCTGATTCACGGTTACCCACTACTTCCGGAGACGCATGAAGCACTCAGGTTCAGCCAGACCCTCCTCCTTTTACAGCCGGGCTTGGGACCGGTCTTAGCGGAGTTGCTATGCCAGTCATTACTCCCTATTCTCACATTATTAGCAGTCATGTGGACAGGCTGTTCTCAAAATCCTCCGATCGTCCTATCTCTGTAAGGGCATTGACAGTGTCAGCACGATCTTTAGGCTGTCCATCGTCAACTAAGGCAGAACTGACCAATGATCAGCTTTTTCATTGCCAACAACATGAATATGCCTAGGACAAAGATGAAGGTAACTGCATGAAGGATGCTGTCAGTGGATATGGGTTGGCAGAACTAAACTGCCTAAAGATAGTATGCATTGATTCCCATATTTTAAAAACTGCATGGTTTTATCAGCTCTGTTAAGAATAATAATATCAGACAATTTATTTTCAAAGGAAACCATTATTCAAATATACAAATGGACACATCAAGAAAATGTCAGACTGGCATCGTGTACAATGAAGGCTCATGAAAGAAATGCTGAAGTCCATTACGGTTTAACAGCCACTATAGAGCTGACGCTTGCATGTGATGACATAGTACCCCCTTTTGATCCCTGGATTGTGGACTGGCAGTCTTCTCTCTGCACTTAAAAGGCAGCAAATATGAAGTTGTTTGTATAGTTAACATTCAGGAAATCAGAGAGTAGAATACAGTTCGGTAAATAGAAATAAATAAAGGTGTCATTTCCATGAAATGAGGTGTATTACAGATTTTAGTTCAGTAAACAGAAACATTTAAAGGTGTCATTTCCACCAACGAACGGAGGTGTATTACTACTGGGGTGTATTTTTATGGACCAAAGAGTGTAACAGTCTGTCCCATGTGGTGAATATTAATGCCACAACGCTAATCATTTTTACTTTCAGGAAAGTTTTATGGTATCAGTTTTTTAGACTGGATCGACTTGAGAACGTTTTTTTTATGAACACACCTTGTGCAAACATGACTAGACTGCAAGAACAATGGGGGGGGGGGGGGGGCAGCAAAGGACAAAAAGAAAAAAAAAAGGAATGTGAAACTGTGACTGCAGACAAGAAGGCACAAAGAACTGGTGTCGTTTACCACACGTTTATACCGGCGACATGCTGAGGAGGGATTTGAGTACTCACGGACTGAATGGTTCGATCTGCAGTGAAGCCAAGTNTGCCCCCTTTTTTTTGGTTTCAGTCAGAGCCAAGACCCTAATTTTTCTTTCCTTTATCTCCCCCACTAACTCTTTTCCCTTTCCGTTTAAAGGGCCCCTTATATTCCTGTTTTCCCTAAATCGTAGTCCGTAAAACCATTCCCTTTCCCTCGCCGTTAAGATCCTCCCCTTTTTTCTCTGTTTTTCTTGTAATCGTGGGGTTTTAAAGGGAAAAAGGTATTGGGCCCGTTTTGCCTTTTTCATGGGGAGGTGCTGCCCCCTTTCGGCCCCCATGCGGCCGTCCCGGGTGATTTCACGGGTTTCCCCTACTTTCCCGGGGAAAGCATGAAGCACTCAGGGTTTGCCAGACCCTCCTCCTTTTTCAGCCGGGGTTGGGACCGGGGCTTAGCGGAGTTTCTATTCCAG